CAGACAAATGGTTCTCCAGTCTTTTCTTAAAAACTTCCAGTTTTGGAGCATTCACAACTTCCAAAGGTAAGACGTTCTACTGATTAATTGCTCTGTCAAGAAGTTTCTCCTTAGTTCTAGGTTAGATCTCTCATTAATGATCTTCCACCTGTTACTTCTTGTCCTGCTCTCAGATGCTTTTGAGAATAGGTTGACCCCCTCTTCTCTGTGACAGTCCCTCAAATACTGACAGATTGCTATCATGTCACCCATAATTCTCTTCATTAGAGTATTTTTGACTAGATATACCTAGTTCCCTCAGTTGTTCTTCGTATGGTTTAGCCTCCATATCCCTTATCAACTTTGTTACTCTTCTCTGCGCTCTTTCTATGTTGTCAATTATCTATGGTGACCAGAATTAGATGCAGTATTCCAAGTATTTCCTCACTAGTAGGTTATAGAGCAGAACTATCACCTCACATGATCTTGAAACTATCCCTCTATTGATGCAACAGGGCTATTGAGTCTCTGGCTGACTTATCCCTTAAAAGTATTTTTGGTTTGTTCGTTTGTTTGTTTTTAAAAAAAACCACCAAAATTTAAAAATAAAAAGTAGCAACACTTCAGACCTATCCACTCTAGTGACATCATTGCCTATCCAGTCATATTTCATGTGATCTTAGAAACTTAATAATAATGTAACACATGGGGAATGATGATATCCCCTGAAGATAAAAGAATAATAAAACATTTGTGGTTTGTAATCCACAACAATTGGGGGCCTACAATAAACTAAAGCAAAAACCAGTGTTCTCAGTTTGGTTTAGTGCAATACAGAAATCCAGGCCACGTCATGAAATTTGTGTCATCTTTAAGTCCCTTTTTTGGAAGTGTGGAGGGAGATCTATGAAAATTCAATCCCTCCCCCAGACCTCCCAAATTACTTCCCATAAGAACCAAACACAAACCTTGTTTTAGGGTTAGGGTTGTGTCTTACTTTTTGAAATACAGGTGGGCTTGGCAGTGAAGGACCAAAAGACGGAACATCTTCTCGTGCTGTGACAGCTACCTATCCAAAACAAAGAAAGAGAAAAAGTATTTGAGCTTATGATATGCGCAAAGCTACATGTAAAAGAACCCAGTGTAAATACAGTTGTCATACAAAGGTCTCTCTGATTAAATTTCTGTTTTTCCTCACTCTTGGCCAGCCATATAATTCTTGGAAGTCCTGAGGGAGTGTCTTTCCCAATGGCTTTGAAGAAGGTAAGTGTCAGGATTCCAGCAATCGCTCTAATTAAATCATGATCCTCGAGCCAACCTTCAAAAAACTTCAAAGGATTCATTAGAGGCGACATACTGGCACTGCCCTGTATGAAGCCAACTCTGGCATATATAATTTACAGTCATCTATGACCCTGTTTCCTCCCTGTCCCCTGGGTGTCCCATAAACTAGATTCTCCAATTGAGCACGTTCACAGGCTGGGTGTCATCATTTACGTTCTCCAATTAAATATATTCAGGGGCAAAACTCTGGTATTTAGTTACAATCTTTTAAAGATAAGAGTTGGAATGTACTTTCGCTTTCCCCCCTTTTTATGGCAACTACTAAAACAGGCATAGGAATGTTTTATGAATTGACAATAAGATTATCTCTGAATATGGAGATTCTGTCCTAATAAGGACATCCAAGATCTAAGAAAACCTTTCTCAACTCTACAATCTACAAATGTGAAATAGAAATATGAAATGTAACTATGAACCCTAGAATTCCTCACCAGCAGTGTTGATGTTCCTCCAGGCAAAGAACTATGGGAAAAGTTATAGATTGTAGATACCAGGTTGGAAAAAAATTGTAAGGAGTCTCCACCGATTAAGGCTAATGAATATTATGAGGCATAAGTTTTTGTGAACTGTAGCTCACAAGGGGGGGTATTGTTTATTTTTCAAATTTATATAGTTGCCTATCGCACAACTAAGTGACTCTTGTTAAGGTTAAGCAGATAAAAATTCAAGGTGGACAGGTTGCAAGTACTTCGCCCATTAACAATTGATATGTGTTTGTTCAGGCCTTCTGAAATAGCCTGGGATATATTGATGTATGTATATTCAGCTGTGGTCAACTGTCCTGGCATGCTCCTTTTGATGCAGAATTATGACTTGTGATTTGCGAGTGTCCTGGGAGGTTAAATGCTTTTCAATTACTTTCTGATATCAAACTTGACCATTAATTATTTTTGTTAGGAATATGAGTCACCTAACAGCTATTTGGGTTAGAAATATATAACCAGGATAAACATTTTAAAACTGTATCTTTAAGAAAATGCAAAACTGTAGTTGGGTGTGGTTTCTCAAATGGCCAAAAGATGGAGCCAGAAACCTGGGTTGTTTTAGTCTTAATCTCAGAAGAGAGTGTGTCTCCGTCTCTGTTTCCTTCTGTTGGAAAGTATTGCCGTTCCTCCATTTCTTCTAATTGACTGATATTACTGGATTTAATGTAAGTCTTACTGAACTGTTTTTTGACACTGGACTTTGATATTTGGATTATCCCTGGATTGAAAACTGACTGATTTAACTTGTGAATGACTTTGGATTGCTTATTTTGGACTTTGCTTAAACCTTTCTGGAAGTAAAAACTTACATTTACTGTACAGTGTATCTGTGTGCTCTGTGTGTATTATTCCAGCACTACTCTCTATACGTCTCCCTGTATGCACTCATTCTCCTAACGGGGAATTACCTCAACAATTTTGCACAAAGTCTGGCCTGTTTATAGAATCCAGAGGGCCATTGCTATCACATTAGAAGAAAGGTATGTGAAAGTGACTCTAAATGTGTGTGTAAAATAGTTGGGGCGCGTGATGGTACTGTTGGTATAAATGCAGCAGTAAAACAATGATCTGGGTTCTTCACATGTCGTGGTTCCCATGTTAATGTCACGGTCCTGTTTTTTCTTGGCTTGTGCGAATCTGCTTCCCTTGGGTGGTTGTCTGGTTGCAACTTTAGGTCTACTACCAAAGGGCCCACTGAGCTATGTGCTGATTGTGGAAATTTCAGTCTTTCAAACTCTAGTCCAGTAATGGCGAACCTTTTCGCTGTGGTGTGCTGAAAGTGTGCGCGTTTATGCCAGCACCCAAAATGTAATGCACCCCCCCCTGCGCATGCGTGTGCAACACCCCTGCCCTGCCCCCTTACCTACACTGCACATACGCGCGCCTCCCAGCTGATTTTCAGCCTGTTTGTGGCCATTTTTGCCCTTCCGGAGGCTTGAGGGAAGCCTCTGCAGCCTCGGGAGGCCAAAAAAACAGGCCTTCCGGAAATATATGGGTTCCCTCAAGCCTCCGGGAAGGTGAAAATGGCCTCAAATGGGCCGAAAATCAACTGGGAGGTCCACGCATGCACAGTGCAGGTAAGTTTGGCTGGGCTTGCAGGCCTGCACAAATGGCTCTGCATGCCACTTGTGGCACGCATGCAATAGGCTCACCATCATGGCTGTAGTCTATTGAAATGGATGTCATTCACTCAACACACACACACACATCAAAATTCCTCATCAAGCTTAATGTTAACCATGTTGTTGTATGAATGCTTCAGCCAGAGATTTCCTTAACCCAGTGTTTCTTAATCTTGGCAAATTTAGGATGGGTGGACAGTAAGGCTGGCTGAAGAAGCCTGGGAACTGAAATTAACCCATCTTAAACTTGCCTGGGTTGAGAAATATTGCCATATTGTGTGTTAACAGAATCTTTTGTGTGAAAGGAAGCTACTAATATTGCAACAAGGAAAGTATTAGGAGTACTTTTTCTTCCACTATAGCATCGAAGGCCTAAACAATAAAAAAAAAAAAAAAAAAACCAAGCAATCACATTTGTCGAGGTAGTGAGGAAAAAATTGGAAGCAGGTGGATTGTAGAAAAGATGATTCTAAATTAAATTAAATGAAATAATTAACTGCATATTTGAAAGGATTGCCTTGGCAAGAGGCAGAATCTAGCTAGCCTTGACTGATTTAAACAAAATAGACACTGGACTGGTTACCACTTGAATAGGAGACCACTACAAAGTCTACGAAGTTGTGGGTTAGGATGAGAAATTGGAAATTATTCCAGAATGGGGCAAGGGCTAATCACTACCATAATCATTGCTAAGAATGTAGCCCAGATGTAAGTCACCAGGATTCAAATGTTTCTTGAGACATTCTACTGATCCATCTAAACGGATATTGAAGTTCCTCTAAGTAGAACACCTCTGGCTGGTGAAATCATTGAACACATCTGGGCAGATGACGAGATTTCTGGCAAGATATCTGGGTCCATATAGAGTGCATTTACCCTCAACATCCCCCCCTCCATGTATTGATTGAACAGTAGTTCACACAAAGAAAAAAAGAGATAGGCAAAGAACTTATAATGCTATGAGAAGTAATACAAAATAATAATATAAATAATGATAATATAATAGTAATAGGCACCTTGCGTACAATCCCTGATCATTACTTGAACACCATCGGCATTGACAAAATAACCACCAGTCAATTGCAAAAGGCAACTCTACTAGGAACAGCTTCCACCCTTCAATGATGTCTTTTAACACATCCACATGTGCCTATCCGAGGTTCTTGGTGGACAAAAATGCTAAATTCAGCCAGAACATCTGGCTGACTGAGCAACAAGCCATAATATATTATTGTAAATGCATTAAATTAAAAGGCACGAAAGTCCAAAATGGGTTCACAATCTCCATATTTCATAAGCCAACAAAATCATACCGGTTGCCATAATTAAAATCTGGATAAAACATAATTCTTTCCTTTGAATATTCATTATTCTACTTTATCCATGTTGTTTTCCTAACCAAGCAATTAAAAATGTCTTTCAATCCACAAACTGATTGTTAATTTTACATCTCTTATTTATGAACTGAACTGTGTGAGTCACCGTGTGTTCCAGCCAATCTACAATGCAAATACAAAGGGATGCCTATTGACCAGAAAAATGTCCAAGCTTTTCATATACAGGTAGTCCTCAATTTACGACTGGTCACTTAGCAACCAATGTCACGGCAGACCTGAAAAGGTGCGTTTACAACCTGGATTAGAAGTTCCAACTGTCTGAACTCTGTGATCATGTGACCAAACTTCAGCTACTCAGCAACACGGCTGCATTCACACTATCATTTGCAGCAACCCACCAATCTCATTAGAGAGAACCTGGAAGAGGGGATCCCTTCGGAGCCTTTTTCTCCACCCATTATGCAGTTGGAGACTATGCCATCTCTTATCTGCCTGTTCTCTAGGCAGCATCGTTTCCTTCTGTCTCCCAGGGGAAAAGTGCAAAGAAGAGCAACTAAGATGGTCAAAGGCCTGGAGACTAAAACATAGGAAGAAAGGCTACAGGATTTGGGTTCGGCTAAAGAAAAGAAGTACTAGAGGTGACATGATGGCAATATTCCAGTACTTGAGGGGCTGCCACAAAGAAATGGGGGTCAAATTATTCTCCAAAGCCCTAACGGGCAGGGCAAGAAACAATGGATGGAAACTAATCAAGGAGAGAAGCAACCTGGAATTAAGGAGAAATGCCCTAACAGTGAGGACAATGAACCAGTGGAACAGCTGGCCTCCAGAAATTGTGGGTACTTCATCACTGATGACTTTTAAGAAGAGACTGGACAGCCACTTGTCTGAAATGGTGTAGGCCTTAGGGTCTCCTGCTTGAGTAGGGAGCTGGACTAGAAGACCTCCAAGGTCCCTTCCAGCTCTATTCTGATTCTGAAGTTATAATGGCACTGGAAAAATGTGATTTATGACCCTTTTTCACACTTACGTCCATTGCAGCATTCCCCGTGGTCACATGAACAAAATTCAGATGCCTGGCAACCAGTTCATATTTACAATGAGATCATGGGATCATGCAATCACCTTTTGCAATCTTCTGACACCCAAAGTCAATGGAGAAGCCAGATTCCCTTAACAACCATATTACTAACTTAACAACTGCAGTAATTTGCTTAACAACAGTGGCAAGAAAGGTTGTAAAATGGGGTAAAACTCGCTTAACAACTGTTTCACTTAGCAACAGGTATTAGGGGCGGTCATAACTGGGCATGGCTAGTCTAGTGAAGAGAAAGACCAGGGGAGACAGGATAGCAGTGTTCTAATATTTGAGGGGCTGCACAGAGAGGAGGAAGGGGTCATGCCAGAGGTGGGATGCTACCAGTTCGGCCCAGTTCTATACAACCGGTAGCTCCGAAGAGCATTCTGGTCGTCTGTTTGGCCAGCCCACCCACCCACCCGGGCTCTTGGCTGTCCTTTATTTCCTGCTTTTTCAACCTCATCTAGTTTGTGCGGCACAGCTCAGGTTCAAAAAGCAGGAAAGAAGAGGATTTTCAAACGCTGCACACCCACATGCAGCACTTGTCAGCTGTCTGGGCGGCAGAGCTGATGATGTTTTGCAAATGCTGCACACGCGCACGCAGCATTCTCACCAAACTGGTTGTAACACCAGTTGAATCCCACCCCTGGATCAAGCTATTTTCCAAGGCACCTGAAGGCCAGACAAGGAATCATGGATGGAAACTGATCAAGGAGAGATTTAACCTGGAAATAAGGAGAAACTTTCTGACAGTGAGAACAATCAACCCATGGAACAGAAGTTGCCCTCGGAGGTTGTGGGAGCTTCATCATTGGAGGCTTTCAAGAAGAGATTGGACTGCTATTTGTCAGAAATGGTTGTAGGGTCTGCTGGGTGGGGGATTGGACTAGATGACCTACAAGGTCCCTCCCAATTCTGTTAATCTGTTAAAATAACTCAGGGATTACCTGTACACCTTTTTCCCCCCTATATGGGACAACAGGGTGGCAAAGCAACTGATTCAAACTAATTTGTAAATGCCAGAATGGGCATATAGCCCATTAAAGACTGCTGGCCACCTGCTCTGCAACCTTCAGTCAAGCTTGATTTTGCTAAGGCTTCAAGGACAGATGTATGCTACACGCCTCTGGGCATTTAATGACATTTCCTGCCAATGTGCAGATAGGCTAACAAAAGTGCCGAGGGCACCAGCTGCTTCTCCAAGAATAAATAACAATTTTCACAAAGGCTTAGCTGGAACTCTTTATCTCTGGTCAAACAGGTACATTTTTCAAAGCCACCAAAGGGCTTATTTGTCAGATGGAAAACAGATGTGGTCACACACAAACCAGACACACACACACACACACACACACACATTCTACTTTTCTCACACACTTACTTTATAGGATGTATTATCCGTTTCTGGATTTTCTGCCTGGACGACAATATAGGCGTGCAGAAAATTTGAAGCAATCATATCCGGAACAAAGGGAGTGTTTTCTTCTTGGAATATAATAGCCACGATGTCGTTGCCAATGTGTCTTTTCCGTTGAAGCTGCGAAGATTAAAGGAAAGAGACAAACACACACTTCCAGGTGGGAGCTCTTAAACAGAAAAACATCCCAATTTTTACTCATCAGTGCAGAGATTTTCTAAGTCTAACAGCAGCAAGATGAAGCATGCATGGCCTAGAAATAGCAATAACATATTTAGACTTATATGCTGCTTCACAGTGCTTTTACAGCCCTCTCTAAGCGGTTTATAGAGTCAGCATTATTGGTCCCAACAATTTGGGTCCTCATTTTACCGACTTTGGAAGGATGGAAGGCTGAGTCAGCCTTGAGATGGTCAGGATCAAACTGCCAAACTGCTGGCAGCCGGCAGTCAGCAGAAGTAGCCGGCAGTACTACACTCTAACTACTGCACCACCACAGCTCTTCAAATGAGCCCCTCCCCCTTTCTTGTGCACACATCAACACACCAACACACACAGAGAGAAGAAAGGGCTGCTTTCTCACAATATCCTTCACCAATGTGAGAAGTTTTATATCCAAACATATTCTTTTGACTGCTTCTACCTTCCTTTAAAATATTAACAGAATCCACAGTGCTTTGAGTGGATTCAGTGTCTGCACTGGATAATTGACAGTCAAGCTGAAACTAAATTAATCAACTAAATTTAGCAAAACCCTCCAAATACGTGACCCAGACCTAATCCACATATCAAAGGATAAGGCCTGCAAACGCAGCCAGAGTTAATTAAATTAGGTCTGTCAGAGGAACTGCATGTTCACAAGAATAAACATACCTACCTACCTACACACATACACACACCTCAAGTGTCACCCTAGAATCAACATGTAGACACTTCACCCTGCACAAGCTACCCCTATAAAAATCTGCTGCTATACCCCATTTCTCTGCAGCTTGCCTCTAAAGGCAAACTGTTTTGCTTTTAGGAATAAATGTTTCTTCTTTCTTCACTGCTGTCTGGATGTCATTTTTATTTATTCTTGCATAGGCCTGGCTCAAGTTGGAACCCCAAATTATTCTTCTGACACCAGGTTCGGGAAAAACTTCGTTGGTGTAAAATGCAAAGCTTAAATTTAGTCATCCTTTCCATGCTGTGGTAAACTATCAATTCAGACATTTGATGAGTTTAAGGTTCAGGAGAGATCAAATGAGCCCCGAAAATGAACTGGTCTAGTAAGCCAAGTTAAGCGTTGAGGCTCTGCCTTGTTTGAGGGCATGCAGATCTGGCCAGCAATTCCAAAGGAACAATTCAACAGCCCTCAGCAACTCAGGTTAACGGCACAAAAATATATGCATTTCTGTGTATGCATATAAAGGTTTGTGTTTATAATTCTATCTGGGAATATATTGATGAACGTGTTAAAAAAGGGCCGTTATCAAAAGGAATTGTGTATGGCAATTCCCACGAATTTGCATAAAGACTTTTTTTAACAAATGATGCAGAAAAGGGGCATAATGAACCTACACAGTTTCAGAAAATGAGAATCTGGGTGCAAAATATTAAAACAAAACAAAATGGCAAGCTTCTACAAAAGGAAATTTGGTCTTTAAAAAAAATTAAAGCAAAAACAAACATCCATCTGTCTGTACAACTTCCCTGAAGAGGTTATTCAATCGCAAGACATGGGCACACTGGCCGAAAGCAATTCACACCTTTCCTTCCACGGCCAGTTACACGATGTTCACTTTACCACTTCATCCCTTGTGCTGCCCTGATATTATATCTCGAAAGAGAAAGGTCAGATCTCACTTACCTGCTGGGTATCACCTTCTGTGAAGGGAAGCTTGGTGGAAACATGGAACATAATCTCTCTGTCCCTGAACACTGTGTAGACAGATTCTGTGCCTGTCTGGGCATGAGTCACATCGAGGCCACCTCGAAAGCTGAAAAGAAACCCAGAACAAGATAGGAGACCTTTGGCACTAGGGAAGAGGAAGGGAGGGAGGGAGAGAGCGAGGGAGGGAGGGGGAAAAAAGGAAGGAAGGAAGGAAGGAAGGAAGGAAGGAAGGAAGGAAGGAAGGAAGGAAGGAAGGAAGGAAGGAAGGAAGGAAGGAAGGAA